CTGAAGCTTTATTCTAATCAAAAAAATACAGTTTAAATACTTTTTTTTCAAATATCTAAAATTTGTATTTTCGCCACAATTCCAAATTATCTTCCCATTTACTATCATACTCTCCTAATAATAATCATACGATCTAAATTATCTTACTATTCTATCCTTATAATAATAGTATGATCTGAATTAGAGACCACGAACATATGCAAATACATAATATGTACGTAAATATGTTATTAATTTACTAAATTTAAATTATTATGTGACATTTTAAGAATATATTATTAAGCAAATAATAAACGCATAATCAGTGGTCTCTAATCCGAATTATCTTCTCACTTACTATCATGCTATCCTAATAATAATAATATGATATGGTTGCGTAATTATGCTTCTCACGTCGAATGATTATTTAATATTCAACCCTGCATGATTATGTTTTAAGTGGGATGATCATTTAACGTTAAATTACTTGCATGTTTAACTTATTTAGGCAGAGCTTATGTCATTCGACCCTGCATAATTATGCTTCTCACTTATTTAGGCAGGGCTTAAAAATGATGAATAAAAAAATGTCTAAATATAGGAAAAAAAATGAAGCCTTAATATTCGAACGAGTTGTAAAGAATATGAAAACCAAGCGTTATGATTACTGAGAGGCTGTATGGAGATTCATATATCAAATACATTGAAATTTTTCAGATCAAAGTTCAAACAAATTATAGAATTCACGATAACCAAAGACCGCTAAATGAACCTAATTCGGAGGAATCTGTGACTGTAGCATAATATGGCACTTCCTGTAGACTCAATTCCAATTCATGTACTTAAAAAAGAAAAGAAGATATCCAACCGATTTGTTTAAAAAATAAAAAAATAAACCATCAAATAAAATTTATGGAAAAATTCCATACATCGCACCAGAAGTTTTATGTGGAAAAAATTATACAACTAAATCTGATATTTACAGTTTAGGAATATTAATGTGGGAAGTTTCAACTTGTGAAGTGCCATTCGGTAATAGAATATATGATGAAAATCTTGCATTATCAATTTATTATGGAGTTAGACCAAATATTCCTAAAAATATTCCAACTGAATATGCTGAATTAATGCAAAGCTGTTGGGATGCAAAACCAAGCAATCGACCAGATGCTTCTTTGATCTTTCAAGAAATTGGAAAATTTAAAAATAGTTTAAACGATCAAGATCAAAAACAAGAACAGGAACAGTATATGAAAAATTCCAATATAGCAAAAGTTTATGTTCAAACTCAATTAAGCAAGCAGCATAATTCATTAAATATTTGTTCAAAACAAATAAATGCTATTCCAGGTAATCTAATAAATTAAAATAATATGGGTTTTCTAGTTTATATATACATGTAAGTTATAATTCTAATAATGTCACTTTTGAATTAATAATATAGAAGGAGTACAAGGTATATATTTAATATTTTAAATCAATAAATGCTTAAAATTTTTATAAACCGTATAAATTTTAATTTTGCTAATTATGAAATTAAGATTTTGAAGACTGCGAAATTAATGATACTGATTTTATCTGATCATTGAATATGCTTAAATCAATTATTTTGACACGAAATTGAAGGAACAATTGTTAGTATCTGAAGAATTTGGCGAACACACTAACTCCAATATAAAAAAAAACTAAGTACTGTGAGGAAAAGTCCCGGGAAAAATTTATTTGAAGTCTTTATTGGCTGGAACTGAGGGAATGAGGCGGAAACCTTCAAGCTATACACTACGAATTTTCGGAAATGTCCGGCTCCCGCTTCACTTGATCCAAATTTTAGGTTCAATAACCAGAATTAAACCTAAATTAAGTTCAACGTTTGGTTACCGAATTTTTGGGTTAAAATATAGTGGCTGACTTTTAATAGAATATATTAACTGACTTTTAATAATAAAATAAAGAATAGTTTATCAGTTACTATTTGATCTAATTTAAAATAATGTAGAACTATCTGTTTAATAAATCAAATTGTAATAACAACTTCTAAATATAACGATAAGGCTAAATATATATTAGAAATTTTTTTCAAATAATAGTATATAAGTTCTTTATCTTAAACTTGAGATAGTACAAATTATTAACTTTATATATATTTTCTGCAAATAGATGAAATTTTTTATGAAAATGAAAGATACATAAACCAACAGCAAGAATTTTTATCATATGTAATTCCTCAAGAAAATAGAATTAGTAGAGAAGAAGTTTTATTAAACATAATTGCAACCTAGTTGTAATCCGTAATTATTACTTTTACGGCCGGCAACCTTACCAGAGTGCATAATTGATTTGAACTAGCAAATTAGACGAACTTCTTCCTATAAGTAATATAAAACACATAATCCAGTTGGTCTGGCCTTACGTTACTAAAAAATTGGATCTTCAAAAGCCACAAACCTTTTCTCTTCAATGAAAATTTGTATAAGTAGGAGAAATTCTTAGTGGTACCTCCAGCTAATATGGAAAGGACACAAATATTAAAAACCTTAAAGAAATATAGAGAATAATCAGATAAATAAAATATATTATTATAGAATAATTAGTTTTTTTTCAAAATATGTATTAAAGGACTATTCAGATATTATAAGTCTTTTAGAAGATTAATAACTTATTGTTAATCCTATTATTGTATTATTTATATAAGCAAGACATTTTCTGCTTTAATAAAAATATCATTCATTTGATAAACTCTTTCTACTTATAGTAAATTCTAAAACTTTCTTTAATCTATAACGTTAACTTTACTAATATTTTTAATTTATACTTGCTAAATAGAATAAACTATTGTTATGTAATGTACACAACGACGGGTCCATATCAAATCATTTTACAGACATAATAGATAATTAATTTATCGATAAACTTGTTTTACAGACAACTAAATTCCCAGATAAGCACATTTTGTTGATACTACAGACAGGTTTATTTTTTATAAATTCCTCTAACCCTAATACTAATGAAATAATATCTGTAAAATGAGCTATTTGTGAAATATGTTGAACTATCGCTATGATATCTGTAAAATGATTGCCTGTCAAGAAACTGCATCAGATTATTTTCAATTATTTATTATGTTATTATTTAGTTTTAAATTAAAAAATAATTTTTTAGTTACTGCATAAATTGAAGGCAACTTCGATATTGGTCTTAAAAATCAAATTTATTAAAACGGTTTTGGATTATCAAATGAAATGCCTTTAAAGATTATATTCCTATTATGGATGAACAGTGATATAAATTGTATCGGCGCAGTAGGCGCAGCGCACATAGATTTAAATTTGCGCATATATATCGGTGCTTCATGTATATATAATGCGCGTATAAATTTTTTCTTTGTGCATATTTTTTCTGCATTTGCACCAATAAAAATTTTTGGAATTTATAACACTGCTCATGAAGGATATAAATCTTAACAATATATCATAAATGGAATGGAGAAGAAAATTTAAATGTTTTAGTTTGCATTGAATCTAATTTATTCATTTGGGAACTTGTTAACGATGATCATTATTTTAGATCAGATGACTTTGTTTAGCCTTTTTGAGTATGTTGTTCAGCTTGTTTTTTAAAGTAAGGTATTTTGTTAAAAGATATTCGGGATTTTCGGGATCGTGTAATTTCAGATACGCAGTACTACAATACTAAAAAAATCATACACTGTGGAGTGGAAAATCCGGAATTTAATATATAATGTAGTAATTTAATGCTAATAAATATTTTCAGTAGAGCTTGTACCCGTATAAGAGTTACTCGGGTAACCCGTATAAGGTCTGTTAACCGGGTCAACCTATTGCTAACCG